AAGGTGTATTCCGAGGTCTTGTTATGTTGAATTTTAACACTTAGGTTTTGATTGCAGGGCAGTTTTGACACTGTACATAGCACGCGCATTTTGGGTTTCTCTTTACAACACATCTCGAGACACGAGAGATAATTAAATATGGCATGAATGAAATAAGAATAGTTTTAAAAGAAAGATATTCGTGTTCATGTTACTTGCCATTTGATTGTTTAACATTTCCAGATTCAACTAAGAAAAACTCCAATTTGTAGATGCAGTACAGATGAAAAGTCCATGGAATTGATCATGTAAAAACGACTTTTAATTTCTAGATTAGCTAGTTTTAGTGAGGAGTGTTTATAAAAGATTGGCCTCGCTTTAGATTTAGAATCTAGAGCTAAAAGCTTTTCAACAAGGTCGTTTAGACCTCACAGTTTCAAACTAATTATCTCTGGCGGGAAGTATGTAATGATCCTAAGTTTTACTAACGTTTATTTTATTTTAAAACTGTACTATCTTTCTTATTTTCTACTTCCGGCCAATTAAATGCTTTAACTTTTTATGCAAATTGTCTTGCGAACGCCAAGTATTTAAGTGTGGCTTTTGCCAAAGGGGGAGAGAAGGAGATTTAGGAAGCAAGCCGCTTGCCACTGCAGTTTACGAGTTTTCACTCGGTTGCGGTGCCTTTAAGGCCAGAGGTTTAGCCCTCTTGATATTTGAAAACGTATTGTAGTTTCAGCAGCTCGGCGTACTACATACGTATCCTTATAAAGGCCTGTCTTTGCTAGGCATTTGTGTATAATCAAAGTTTTAGTTAGAGTTTAGTTATATTTTATATTCTTACGTTTAGACCACAAGTGGGTTGGTCTCTGTATCCCGAAGTTCGAAATACCTGTAAAGTATTGAAAATAAAGGGTTTCGTAACCCTTCCTGCTTGTGCTGTCTACTTCACACTTCTTGAACATAGCTGAGTAGCTCCCTGTTCCTTCGGACACATCATGTTTCCAAAGCAAATCAAGAGAAACACAAGTCCTGACAAATTTAGTTTCTGTGCCACATTGTCGTGAACGATAATCACAAGTGTGAAAATTTTAAAATATAACGCTGATTTTTGTTGTTTGACTTCTGAATCAGATTGTGAGTTCTTTTCATACCTTGTTTGGCGTAACACATCAAATAAACTTGTGCTTTTTAAACGTTCTTATTCAGACTAATACAGTACACCAACTATATCTTTCAAGTATCTTACAAATTTGTTCTTAAGATTTTTATTTTTATTTTTAATTATTCAGCGCGTTCCGTTTTGAAGGGTGGGGTACGAACTGTGCGAAATTTGATCGAAGTTCCCCTGCCCCTCTTATCTAATTCACGAACTGCGTGACGTTTCCTGTCCCCTCTTTCTTTACCAAGAAGATTGGGTGCTACAAAAAGTCATTTATCGCCATTAATGGGACATTTTATTGAGACTGCAAGCCTCTATTTTCGTTTATCAATATTGTAAAAATTGGGCACACAAAACAAATACTAATTTAAAATCTGGCGTGTGCTAAAGTAAAATGAATTTCTTTCACCATTTTAAAGTTTTATGATGCTTAAAAGATGATGAGCCAGATCTTTTTTATTCTCTGTAAGAATTAAAAACTTTCCAAGTTTAGATTTTAGTCCCCGATAGATATATATATTATATCATTTTGAATAATAAATTGATAGATTAATGACATACACAAAACTGATACGTAATCAACCTATCAAATATTGGATTTGTAGCGCACCTTAAATAAATGTTATTTCTTGTCTAAATAAATGTTAACAAATAATCTTAGATAGCAGAATGATTTTAACTATCAGATTTACCATTTCAGGTAAATAGTTCTAATTTAATTAAAACAATTATCTTTGTTAAATCTAAAAATTGGATTTCTCAAGTGGTTCTAAATTCACACTAATATTATTGCAATATATTGCTGTATTAAGCTTTCCATTTTTAGCCATTGATAAGTTATTTAAATATTTATGGTTTATTATTTATAGTTATTTTAAGTTTATTTAACTTCTTACAAATTCCATATTTTAATACAAAACGTTTTAATATGTATTATGTTTTCTAGTTACTCTACTTGAATTACTTTGGCATACATTTAATTTCTAATGGACATTTAATTAATAAATTGATAATTATGAGCGTCTACAGAATTTTCATAATTAACAAAAAAAGTGGAAAAAAACCGAACTCCTTTATATTCATATCTTGGGATTTTCAGTTCCCTTTTAATCCATTCCTTTTTCACATTGTTGCACTGTATTCAAGTTTCATATGCATGCTATCATAATATATAAAATTTATTTACAATTTATACGTCAGAGTTCCAAACGCTTACTAATGTTGTTATAATAGATTTCACGCTAAGCTTTTTATTAATTTAACTGTTAATTTCTTCAAACATTTACATGATTACTTTAATTAACAAAAAATATTTCTAGCGCACTTTGATACGGAATAATCCTTTGCACGCCAGTGAGCTATACTAAATTTTCCAGTTCTGGTTCAGACATCATGACTATTATTGCAATAGCATACCAATTGTATTAAAAATACAATTGGTATGCTTTATAATTATTTAATTAATGATATTATTATAATATTCCTTGCCGTAATATTATAATTAATGAAAGACGTTTGTAATGCTAATATGTATGTTGACTACTACCTTTTATTTTATTTGTTAGCTCTCGCAATTATTACTGTTATTCAAGTAATTAGCCTGCTTGTTAAGTATGCTTTACTTGTTCTTGTGATATGTAATTCTATTTCTTTATTTTTATTTTCCTCTTGGCTAGAATTGGCTTCGAAAGGTAAAATTGTAACCCTGTAAGCAACGGGGGTAAGAAATTTTGATTGGCGCAGTTTTACTATACCAGGACGAGGTTGGGATTTTCATCCGCGCAGTTGGAGTACACCCTTTTGAATTACAACATAATAATCATAATCGTTTCACGTGGTCCGTTTTACTGCTTTTTCTCTGCATTTCGCTGGCGTTGGCGTCCTCGTTCTTCATAGAGTACGCCAGAACTTCACACCCAATTATTTGCTATAAACCTAGCTTCTTTCATAACATCGTCAGACTCGTTTCTCATATCTTGCATACTGACAGAAACTTTTTTTTTATGTTGATAAGCCTCATTCAAGTCGATTGATTTTCTTTGTAATAATTCAGACGCTGCATTTGCAAAAGACAAAAATCGTTAAGAATAAAAATTCGAAAGATTCCATTTTTTTAATCTATTTGCATTTTTAACCCTTGCACTTTCTTTGAAGTTAATATAATTTAATTTAATGCTTTCAAGATGTCAAAGTATCGCATTTTAACTGATATTAAAGATGATTATCGTCCAGCCCACTTGTAGGATTTAGATTTTTGACAGCAAAGTCTCCCGAAGAAAGTACTCCATCGTTTTTAAACTTTCTCCGAAATACACGTAAATATTTTGAAGAATTTCGAAATAGTATTTACGTAGCTCTCTTACAGCTTGCACTGCATATGCTCGCCTCAAATTCAGAACTTATTCTCACAGCAGACAAGCAACAGCTCGTCCCGGTTATCACTAATAACTTGAAATATGTCCTCTAGAGGCGAATCAAAACGAAAGCATACAGCTTTTTTATTTTGATTTCAGTTAAAGTTCAGGTGTGTGTAACAATGAATTCAGCTTTCCTCTGCTTCCAAGGAACCCCTATCTGCGTCATATAGGTAGGGTACCCTTAAAAATTTAAAAGAAGACGAATTATAAGGGATTTTCTCCCGCCTTCTTAGCTTGCCTTTGTGGTGTAATGGTAAGCACACTCGGAGCGTATTCGAGAGATCCGAGGTTCACGTCTCTCAGTAAAAAAAATCCTGATGTCTCTACAGTGGCGCCCGAACTAAAAAAGGTGGTTAATGATGATTCTTCACCACCAGCATTTGGAGATTGGGTCCCCTAATCCCTAGTCGCCCTTTAAAAAAGGGCGAGTATATATGGTATATCTCCCGCCTTCCTAGCATGCCTTCGTGGTGTAATGGTCAGCACACTTGGCGCGTATTCGAGAGGTCCGAAATCCCGGCGAGGACACTGCACATTTTTCCTGTGTCCTGCTTCGAAATAACCTAATGTCTCTACAGGATAATAGAATCCGCATTTTAGGTTTAAACATGTAAATATATTCCAGCAGGACATTCAGGACCCTTATGCGACGGCGTTTCTTGCATACCCTTATTCACGCCATTGGGTCTAAAATATTTTACCTTTCGGAGGATGAGGAAGACCCCACCGTCTCTTCTGCTAAATAAACTTTGGGGAAAAAGTTTAATGCAAGAAATAATTTTAATATGGTATCATTCAATATTAAATTCAATTTATCACATTAGCAAGTTTATGACAGCTTCTGCTTCACGAAACACGGAATAATAATATCAGGAATAAGGAATTATAATATCAGATATAATTTCGCCTCGCGAACTTTTCCAAATTCTGCTGAAACAACTATGCCTAACAATGGAAAGCTCTAACAACTTGAATGAAAAAAAAAATAATAATAATTATGGCATAGCACACAAAAGGTATTTGTTATTTTCAGGAAAAATTTCCTAAATAAATTGGCTCTCTTTTATTTTACACATGGAGAAAATTACAACAGCCCCATGCAGCCAGCTTGTTCACTCGTTGATAACTTACGCTAGGCCGAACTATTCAGTGTTCTTCTGTTTTAATTATGTGACATTTGAAGAAAGACAAAATATAGTTATTATATGTTGAATGTTTGAAAGCATATTAATAATGTTTTATGCAATATCTATTTTCATGTCAATGAAAGTCACAAAAGCATGTATACACCTTAAGTTAGGAGATAAATGAAATATAAAAATTTAAAAGCAAAAATAAAAAACGAAATTACCATGCTACCAAATAAAAACGCTGCTCTGGAATATGAAAAACCTTTAAAGTTAGGAACTAAAGTCTTCATAATAGTGAGGAAAACACACAAATAGCAAAATTTATATACAAATTTTATTACACTTTTGAACAAACAATACATTACTAACAATTGAGCAATCTTATTTTCCAAGACAGCTCCCAAGGTTACAATACCTATTTTCATTCTTTTCCACAGTATAATTTGAAACAATAATTTTCTAACATTAACTTTGGCTTTATTGCGAAGAATTCCACTTGACATATAATTAGAAACTTTTTAACCTTATGTAACTAGTCTAGATTAATTCAAAAATATAAGATCATTATAATGGGGAAATCTCAGTTACTCACAAAATTGTATTTAAAATTATTTGTTCAAAAGGAAATGGTGGACTAGTTCAACTTTGAATGTTCTTTAACAAATATTTATGGAGAATGAAATACCTTTTCTCCACAGAAGTAACACAGATTAAGTATACACACTAATTAACTAGTTAAATTTAGAAAAGGTGGATCTAAGAATTCCCGAATGTGCTTCAAAACATCTGTACATGTGCAGAAAATTTCAAGAAATTATAACAGGGTGTCGTAACTCAAAATATACAGATTCTTTGGGAATCCACCAATGATTTCTAGGAGTCCATGACACAAAAGGAGGAGATAAGAATTTAATTTCATTTAAAATTAAATTATAACTGTAGTCAAAAGTGTAAAAAAAATTTAATGGGCTTAAAGAATAGCTCACCTTTTCTTAAACCCAAGGCAATCGCTGTTTTTATGCTTACAAAAATAACCTCTGTTTCCTGTGCTACAGGAAAGGAAGCATCTGGTCGGCTGTAGAGTTCACTGTAGATGTGGAAGTACAATCAAATGAAATGTAATTTTTTTAATAAAAAAAATGAAACTACTGTTTAATATACTAATCGATTTTAACAAAAGCATTTTCACTCTGAATTATTTTATGTTAAATTCATAACTTTCAAATTTTGTATCTTAACGTACATGTACGAGATAGGATGTACTTTTTTCAATATTTTGTTAAGAATATGCCTGTAAAGCAACTGTCTCTCAGTAAGGTCTGTAGAGCAAAACTAGTAAAGAATTATTTTATAGTAATTTATTTGATACTGATAAACTTATATGAACAATAATTTAGGGAGCGGAAGTTAACTACATGCACATTAAAAAATATATTACCAAAAATGTTGCATATTAATCTTGTAGAATATACAATTTATCCGAATTTGTCTAAGCATGACAGATTTGCGTAACAAAAAAAGTATAACATGAAATCTATTACAAATGTATGTATTTAATGATTATATTTAACCACCTTACCGAAATTAATGATTCTAAAATGATGAAATGTTAGCAAACCGAGTAAAATGTAATGCATTAAACAGAAATAATGCACGAAAATATTTCTAAACACTGTATGCCAAGTTCAATATATGTATTTAAGAATAACCGCATACAGAAATCTTAAGCATTTTAGAAATATGTTTCAGTTCCGTTTATTAATACTGAACAATTGATACATAACTGATGAATACTTAATACCATATAATAATACAGTTATTGTATCTTGTATAAACTATTAGAAATACAACAAAACAGCTTTCGATGCAGTCTGTTGCATAATAAAATTCTTTAAAAGTTTATAAACGTAGTCTGGTGTTTATATGTGAAATTACTAAGATAAAAAATCAAATCTCCACCCAGTTAAGTATGCACTAAAAGGGACGTGAAAGTGTATTATAATTATTTTTAGACACAAAACTTTAAAATATTCATGCGACCATTTGATGTTATAATTATAAAAAATGTAAATGCAATTTAAATGAAGCATATGCTTAAATTTTTATTTAAATAAATGATCTTAACTATTTGTTTCAAGATTGCCAGCTTGAAACTAGTTACCTAAATTTGAATACAAAATTAATTTGCCCATGATTTAGAATAGAATGCATTTCCAATTTAAAATGAATTGATAAAGGTAACATTTTACTTAGTTCCTATATGTGTCACAAATAATAACCCTAAAATATATTTCCTTGTGAGGGGGGGGAAAGACTTTTTTAAATATTCTGAGCAAAATTACTTCCTATTAATTTTTAAAATGTCTAAACTTCCATTTCTTCTACTGTAATACAAATATCCTTTAGCTGTACTCCATATTTAAAAAAAAAATTATTTTTAAATTATACTTTAAAACACAAGTTTGAAAACTACAAAGCTAGGAAATAATTCTGGTTGTAGAATTAATTATACACACACATCTTCATAAAAATTCATCTGCAAACAAATAATTATTTTCTTATTATAATGATGAAAATAGAACGAACCAAAATAAAATTAAGGAAAAATTTAGATTGGTCAGATTTTTAATAAAATTTGACTCTGACTATATATTTTTTGTCTAAATTTACACTGGTATCTTTCTTCTCCATATAAATCAAAGTAATCTATTCTGTCGACCTGAATTCTGAAAATTTTTCGGAAAATGATTATTAAATGACTTTATGTCAGACACTGCATTAATAGAAAGAGTTTAATAAGATATCCGAAACAGGATAGAGAATTTAGTATAAGTGAAAGGATCAGATTTTGTATATTAAATTAATAATTAATATAATACAAATTTATTTGTATAAATTTGATATTGATATGAATACATATCAATTAATATCAAACATTGCATTAAAGAGATAGTCCCATATGGAGGGAAGGCAAAGATTTTTAACAGATTTTTCTTTAAAAAATTAATATAAAAGGGCATATTTTTTATCGGAAATTGAATAACTTTCAACATTTTATATTCGATACTTTTTTGATTTTAAAAAACGTATTCTGTAATAGTTCTTAGGCTTTGGACTGAAGCGGGGCAAATATCAGATAACAATGACTGCAGGATCTGGGTAGATTTCAAAAGCAAAAACAAAATATGTTTAAGGCAAGAAGCTTGTCATAATCATTCAAAACTAAAGGATCTGTCAGACAATGCTTTATAAAAATAAAAGAACCCCCCAAAAAAATAATTTTTAATCAGCAGAACTATAAAAATATTATTTGGATAAGACTTCTGAAATAAACACTTATGTAGAGAAAAAGGGATTCTAAGAAAAGATTGAAAACTCCTTTCACGAAATGAACACTGTGTGGACTACTCAATATTTTAACCAGAACAAATTAAAAAAACAGTGCATATTTCAAATCAGAATTTGAGTTTTTAAAATCAGTGTGCATTGGTAAAATCCATGTGTCAGATAACTTTAAATATGATGTTACCCATTATTTCATCTACCATATCAATAAACTTCTCTATCTTCCTTTGTCTAACTTGTTGATAATGATCCCATAAATGTTTGAACTGCCCATTTTCAAGTGGCCACATTTGCATGAAAGTAACTAACATGATTCCTTTCTTTCTGTAAACTGAGAATGTAATTGGAAAAAATAAGTCCATTTTTTACATACCATAAAATGCTACTACTGGTAATGAAAGCTATTTTGCTATGTAACAATGCTGAAGAAACAGCCACAGATTAAAACTGTTTCCTTACATATTTTAAAAGGGAAAACATGAAAAAGAACTTAGCGTTTGGTTTAGTAAAATCAACAATATTGCAGATCCACGAAAGACTAGCTAAATATTATGTGCGACTGACATCTAGATATATTGCTAGTTTCTTAATGTATTCAAATCCATTTTATGAAAACTGAAAGCATATAAACAAACTGATGGAATCTACTACACCTGCAAGATTAATTACATTTTGAAATCTAAAAAATCATTCAGATTACCAACACTGACGTTATTCAGAGTAATCGAAATCCTGCCACACTTATGTACTATTAGTTGAAACATTCAACTTAAGCCATATGAATAGGCTAAGAGAATAAATTTATTTACTAAGAACATTTATTATAAAATATATTCGGCCATTCTTAAAGTTATGCAGTTTTTCAAATCAAAGCACGTTTTCTTCTAATTATTTTCTTACTTCTGATACTAGATTGAAGATGAAGCTGAAATACATTTGTTTCTGCTCATGTTAGATAATTCTAGCATGCAGCATAACTTTTCTTTCAGTGCAGTGCTAAGAATGAAGAAACTAAAAGTTTATTTTCGTCATATTAAGCATTTTTATTCCAAAAAAGGAAAAAAAAGTGCCAGTCAGACGTCTCCTAAATTTGTGCTATGTTTGGAAAGAGTGCTGTTTCTGATGATGCAGTTTGAGGGTGGTTTCAGAAGCTAAAGCCTGGATATTTCTGCCTCGATCATGATAACCACATCGGACGACATCCTCTCTAAACAAAGAAAATGAACTTATCACTGAAAATTCAAGTTATAAAGTTCAGGAACTGTCCAAGGGACTAAATATTCCAAGGAGTGCAGTCAAGATCATTAAAAGAAGATTGAGTACAAGTTGTTACAATGTATAGGAATCCCATACTATAACAAAGCAGAATATACTTGCTCGAGTTTTGGCATGCAATTCTTTGTTAAAAAAACCAAATAAGTTTCCTTTTTCAAATGGCTCATAATAGGAGATGAGAAATGGGTACTAAATAATATTACAGGAGGAAGATCATGGGATAAGCCAAAGAACCTCTCTTAACAGCATCAAGATGGGAACCGCAATCCCAAAAAGTATTGCTTTGTGTATTGTAGGCCTACAAAGGAATTATATACTACGAATTCTTGCCACCAAATCAGACAATAAATTCAGAAAAATATTGCCCCCAAATGGCAGTTTTAAAAAACAAAATTAAAGCCCAGAACTGACCAATCTTCGAGATGTCTTCCATCATCACAATGTTCGGCCCCAAATTTCAATGAATATCAGACAAAAACTTATTGAACATTGTTGAGAATTTCTGCGTCACGTGCCATGTTCATTGCCCTCTCTAAATTTCTTTCTGAATTTCATCTCTTCAGGTTAACTCAAAATTCTCTGAATGGCCTGGAGTTGACTTCTTTGGAGACTGTCAAACAGTATCTTTGGAGACTGTCAAACAGTATCTTTTATAAGTTCCTTAGGAATAAACCTGGGAACTTGACCAAATAAATTACTTGTTCTTTGCTCATTTTTGAATTTTTATGTTCCAATTTCTTTCAAGCAATTTGCTACAGGAAAAAATTTTGCAAACAAATATCTATTTCACATTTACAAACAACGGTCTTCTGCTGAAGCAGTTGTAATCCCATGGCCTCTTTCAAATGCTAAAAAATTATATATAAGTGGTATCTATGTGTAACATTTCAAAAGAACTAAATAGGAATTTTTCACTATTTATTTCCATCCTAATTATTACTGTCAAAAAGGAAATTATACAATATTTTGCATTCATACATATTTTTGTATTACAGAAAGATATGCACAAAGTTAGATTCAACTTTTTAAAAAAAAGTCTTAAGTGCATCATTCTCTTAAAATAACTTTGAGGAAAAGCTGTGTATAATGCATTCTTCCCATACAATTCAGTTTAAAATATTAGGATATAGTGACATTGTTAAAAAATCTAAACGAATGTACCTGCATGTATGTATATATATTCTTGATATGGTAACCCTGTCAAGCCGAGTTGCTAACATAGAGTCTGGCAACCTGCATTTGTACATGCATTCCTATTAAGTTTATTCAGCTATATGAGGTGAACCTCAAGAACGACAATAATAAGCTCTTTTTCAGCTTTTAACTTTTCTGTTTCATTTTATATGCTTGCTCTACTTTTTCAGCACCAAAATAGATAAATTTTTTTTCCTTTTTTCGCCCATTGCTTATTAATAAAATAAGACAGGACTTTTAAGTTTTTGAGACAGCAGCCTTTTTTTACTTGTACGTGGCATTATTCGAAAAATGTTGAATAACTTATATGAATAAGTAAATGAAGTTTTGGAAGTTTTTCTGTTACACTTCTACTAGTTTTTCTTTTATTACACATCAAAAAGATTTTCATGTGTTTTATTCTCAGTGTATGAATGGCTTGTTAGAGAAGCTTGACAGCAATAGTGAGACTATATGAAATATAACTTTATAAAAATGGAAATTTATTTAAAACAGTTTAAAGTCTTACATTGTTGAGAGGAACAATATATGTGTTCGACACTCATCAATTGTCCCAGTTTGGTGTTTCAAATACTTAACCCTTGACAAGCTCTGTTTGAAACATTAAATAGGGGTTATTAAATTATTCTTTTTATCATGTTTCATTGCTTCTCTTATGTTAATTTTAATGATTACACCACTCTTATAATAAGTCTTAACTTCCCGTACAAAAAGCTTAACTTGACATATGTGATCACTCTAAAAAATTTTCACTTTTACTATTAAGACATTTAATTTTTATCCTACATCTTTTTTCTCAGATAGGATAATCTAAATTTCTGTTCCTTTTGAACTCAATCTTATAATATACATATAAAAAAAGGTTTATATATATCTATAAACCTTCTCAAAAACATGGAAATGGTAACAAATGTTGTAATGCTGAATTAATCAAGATAAAAACTTCTCATAAGTTTAAAACAAAGAAAATAATAAAGCAAAAAATTCAACAATTTTCTTATCAAAGAGGACAATATTTAGAAGTTTAAATAGCAAAATACATTTTCTAAATAATTCATTTCTCAAACCTTTGAATGAGAAATGATTTAATACCAGTTGTTAAATTAATATAATTGTAAATTTGTTTATAACATTATTAACAGGTATGCTGTTTAAAGCCCCCCCCCAAAAAAAGGGGGAGAAGATACCAAAAGGCATTTTAACATAAATTTAGTGCAATCATTTATTCAGATCTCACTGCATTTCAAAAATTCAGAATAAAAATAGTATGGAAAACATATATTACATAAAATACAAGATCATGCTTCAAATTATTTGTGTATGTATATGCATGTGTTAAATAAATTCTCTTAAGTGCTTAATATTACAGCATATTTTTAAAATTATGAAAAGAAAGCAGAAGCATTGCCTTTGAATGGGTTCATATATACCCTAAGACATGTGCAAACACAAGTGTATGAGTGTGCATATACATATATATGCACACAAAGATACACACACATATATATACACATATATACACACACTCACACATATATATAATACGTACATACACAGTTGGTCCTCACTGCATGAGCAAAATTTTGGCAGTGTCGTTTTCCCCTATGTACAGTCAAGACAATAATGACATTAACTATGACAGTTGCTTGGCAGCCAAATGAACATCACAACTTCACATGCTTTAAAAAATATGAAATGATAGAAAAATGGCAGTGCGGGAGAATTCAAAAAGCTAAAACATGAGATTTCCTCCTTTTCACAGATTGAAAAATAATGGTAAGTAAATAAATAACATTATATTATCTCATAAAGTGAGGTAGACCGTGTAAAAGGGGGATACATTACTTGAAACTTTCGCACACCACAAAACACTGTATTTACAAGCTCTGGATATATTTTAGCAGCTATGCAAATAAAAAAAAAGTACAATTTAGGATATAGAATAAGCTTCAGAATGTGTTTCTAACATGACTATGACATAATTCAAGATTTGGGAACTTAAATCAACAGAGATAATAAAATATACTTAAGCAAAGATTTTGCTCATTTAAAACAATCTGTTCCTCTTTAGTTGTTCTTTGAAATCCCATTCTTAACATTAACTATAGGTAATAAATAATCCAAACAATACATATCAATTTGCAAAAACAAAAATTAACAAATAATTGATTCATTGTTATAACAGAATGAGTATAGGTTCAAATTTTGGATAACATAAATTCTAATTCTAATAGCAAAAACAGCACATAAGAATGATATTTGCCAAGCTGCTTTACTTCAATAAAATCACAGAAAGTTAATTGATGCTGAAATACATGAAACATGTTGGTGAAATGCTTAATTTCATAATTACACATAATATAAAATGACTTTTAATAAATGATTTAAGATATGCTAAAATTTACTTATTTCAGATCAATAATGCATTACGTTGAATGAAAATTTTACCTTATAACTGTTTATTTATTTCATATGAACAACCTTTAATATTTAAAAAAACATTATTACATGGACTATAATATATTGATTAAAAATACATCTCGTACTGAAATATTTTATCATGTTAATGAAATATGTAACTGTGCTGTAATTTTATATTTCCTTTTATTAAATGCTGGGGGCTAAATGCACATAATTTCACAAAAGTGCAGCATAATACACTAACAACATGAAGAACTACGAGGACATTTGAAAAAATACTCATACCTGATGCAGTTTTCAACAGCAGTAAATTTTCATGTAAATAATTAAAAAATATCTAGATGACAAGACACCACATAAAGCACGTTAGTTCATTTTACCTTTCTTGTAATTTTACATAAAAAATACAACTTCATTATTTTTCAAAATTACATAATTTCAAAACATTTCTACTAATGTGAAGTCCACATACAAGTCTCTCCTTATTTTTCTAAAATGTATAATTAAACAATACATTAGCAATCATGAACATAACAAATGACATGTGACAAACTAGATTTTTTAAAATACTGCAGGTTACTTCACCAAATTTAGATGTTAGCTAAATTCTTATACATAATATATGAAAATATGAAAGTTTCATTAGCAAATATAATAAGTATAAAAATCAGAAAACTGCATCAACATCTAATTTAAAAAGTTTCTAAAATCAATTTTGTAACAATGATAAACAGAAAAGTTCAAATCGTGAAACTTTATTAATTATATGCTTGATCTTTTCATTTACTTCATTTCAATGAGACACTCTTTGCAGTACATTTTATTAAGTATGATGCACAGTGCAAAAAATAATCAGTTTAATGCATTTCCACTAAAAAGAATGTTCACAACAATTTAAATGAGATCTCATGTATATGTACAATGCATTCATTAATGAAAATAATGTTATATGAAGAATACTGATGTAGAGAATAGCTAGTTTCTTGACCTGTAAAGAAAAGATTTACTTAGTTAAAAATGCACAAAATTATACATTTGTAAAGTTGTAAAAATTTCATTTAAAAATAGTACAGCACAAAGTCTGTGATCCAGTCACATTGTGACTTCGAATCTGGATTTTGGAATTTTCTGGATTTTAATCAACAGTTTAAATCTAGCAAGATGAAATGTATAAATTATCAAAATTAAAAATATTAAACAGTTGTTTATGAAATAATGAAACATTTATATTGAAAAAAAGAGCTTAGTTTTTATTTGTTTGCTTCATTAAACATTTCTTTCAGTGTAAGTTGTTTAGGCTGCTCCGTTTTTTTTTATGCTAAATATTTTTTTTTATAGATAGGCATAATTTCTTATTCTGTTCCATTCCTCAAGTCCTACAATTGCCGTGTAGAGAATTCCCACTAAATTGTCAACAGATTTTTGTCTTTCTGTTTTCAGCAACATCTCTGTTACCATCTTTACTATTGGTAGCAACATTGTCTGAATTTAGAACCATACTGCAGATTTTGGTGCCTGCTAGATAACTGACGATTGGGACATTGTCATTGCAATGGAAAACTTCTGTTATATGATCTTTATTTATTGCCACTACACCATACTTTTTCCGAATTCCACTGAATGGAAAATTTTGCCTTGTGTTTGCAATATGTGAAAACCTTCAAATTCCCGACTATCACTGTAAGCTTAGTCAGTGTCTGCTTTACACTATTACGTTGTATCATGTGATTGGTGACTAGAGACGTGTTGTTTCATTAAATTTTGTCTTGCTTTTATCACATGCTGAGGAAATTAATCCTGAATTATAATAGTTATTTATTATGTCTATTTCCCGCATATGCTTAAGGCTGAGTCTGTAAAAAATTAATTCCCACATATACATAAGGCTAATCTGAACAAAAAATCAGATATTCTTAATTCAAACAGTGTAAACTTTTAATCATTTACAAAATATATTTTTACATATGGAAAGAAATTTCCCTAAATTTCTCCTTCTCAACAAACCCAATATTCTGCAGTTCAGTTGGCTGAAGTCTGTAATGGTCGCCAAGCATAATGTCAGCATAAAAGGTTATCCTGCTGTTTGGTATTCAGTTACTAATGTTTTTAAAAAAATGTTTTGGACATCCCTGAATGAATCATTTATCAAGCTGCCGCCAGAGTTGATTTGCCATGTGGTAATGAAAGCAAAAATGATTCACCAGGTTGGCATCAAGCATTCTACATGTAGTATACAGTAGGTGTAAATTCAATGATGAACTCCAGTAAAATATTTTGGTTTGTGATGTATGCCTAGGGAAAAGGTGGCTACAGAGCCAAATTATTGATCATACAGATTTATGCTAATAAATGATTGTATTTCTTAATTATGGAGGTGTTTTGTTTAATACCAAAATGAAATTAAGAATCCCTCCACATGCTTTATTATTAAAATGTCTGGTGTGCCTGCTTGAAGCATTAAGCATATACTAAAGCAAGATGCTACTATTGGAATCTAATTCTTTCTCACTTTTTACAACAGCTTCTAAGAAAAATTCTGATGGCCTGGATATTAGATCATTCCAGATACTAGAAGACAGGATTTCACTTTGTTTTGTATAAAGTTATGTCTAAAGGTGACAAAACTTACACAAAATAACAGTTCAATAGAAGTTCACTTGCAAAACAATTACTGACACCTTCCAGCTATAGGACAGTGATGCAAAGGACCAAAATAGCAAAACATATGATAATTCAACTATATTAGAGTAAGCTCATGAGAACATTTAATTTGGGGAAGAACGATAAAAAGAGTTGTCTACAAGACAACTAATTAAATAAAGCTGCCTCAAAGGTTAGTTAATTTCATGGAAGTCTTTCAAAGGGAAACTGGTTTGAATTTACGTAACATATGTGTAAAACTAGAAATCATAACCAGTCAATTAGTTCAGTTGCCAAGAACTAAACATATGATGAAATACCAACATTCTGCTGCACTGGAATGTGCTGGTCAGAATGAATTCATTATGTTTCCCCTTCCCTGGTTAAAGAGTCAGGTTCAAGAATAAAGTAGCATTAGTGGGTGTAGAGATATAAAACAAATTATGCGCAGAAGTGCAGTAAAATGCACAAATTTTGCAAGCTCATTTTGATCTCCATACACATACATATGAAAGAATATCTACTGATAAGAAGAAAGCATTTGCAACAATTTAGACTGTGCAAAAAGTAACACAGAAAATACTGAATGTTGAGAATATCAGAATTTATATATGCTTGAAAGAGAGATAGATGATTTCATCTACCTTAAGAACACAAAAAATACTAATTTTATCATCACATTAGTTTTTTATTTTCAAAAGAATGAAATAAGAAAGTTCTATGGATGTCATTAAATTCTTTTTTTAAGTTCAGCCTAAATAAAGAAAGTACATTATTTTTGAAATTCTCAGTTAGAGTTCGATCACAAAACATTTCTATCAATTGTTTCTTGATGATATTTTTGAATTTAATAGTTAAAAATGCTTTGTTTCTTTGCGTACCACGTATTTTTCTCTTGCGTAATACCAGTTGAGAATCGCTGGTCTAGGGCATATTGCCAATTGGGTGACTTCATACCAAATCTGGTAACCCTATCTTTTCCTGCTACTCTCTGGCAACCCTAAACCTGCTTTGTGGGGAAGCCAAAGAATATGCATTGATAAGAATGAAAACTTCTCCTCATCAAGCTGCGTTCACATGTTCGCAAGTAAAGCATTAACTAATCAGGACAGAGTTCAGAGGTGGCATTTGTCGGATGGCCGGAGACCGTGTGAGTTGACTTAACTTCAACTTTTTGATGCATCTGTTTCAGGCATTTTGTTTCAAAAATCTAGTTTATACCATGGTTTTTAAATGATTACACTTTCAAAAATTCTTGATGGAAAAAAAAGGTCGTATGGACTAATCTTAATAAAAAAAAAAATGCATACACTAATAGAATAAACAGCTTTATAAATTATTTAAAGAAAAGTTCTCAAGTTTATTCGCAGTAATAAGCCTTAATAATCAGTCATAAATTATATATGGTTGATAATTTTCATAGAAGATTATTGCGAGAAAATATTGATGGATTTCAAAATCCCAGATTTTGAACTCAATTTAAGGTTGCTCTCATTGCCTAGTGGATAAAACGTTGGCTTCTTGAGTTAAAGATTTTGGATTCAAGCATCACCAGGAGTGACGTTGTAATGGAGTTGGTATTTTAAAAAAATTATATTTACAGAAATGATAGATAATTTCAAAGTAGCCCAGATGCTTCTTCAGGTTCCTAAAATTGAAGAGTGAAAAGCAGGCTTACCTGCAAGATATCTTAGTGCAGAGGTAACACGCTCAAGTAGAAAACTCAGCTTTCACCAGGGACTTGTATTGCGGGTTCGGGCCTTGCTTTTTTCCTACCTTTGATGATGGTATGAATACACGATTTTTTTTATTTGCCATGACTTTTTTTTTGGGGGGGGAAAGAAGCTTGCATTTATTTTTCATTTCATTCATCACTCATATAAAATTAATTCATATAAATTAGTGTTCTGCTTTTGAATAAATAGTTCAGTGAGGGCTAAAAATTCACTGAAATGATGAGGTGTCACGCGAACGTAATTAAAAGAAATTCCGTTTCGCTCAAGCGCATTTCTTCAATTAAATTACCACAGTCATCTCTCACATATTAATATAAACCACTACATTCTGCTTCTCTTACACAATGTAAGAAGTAAAACAAGTTTTAATCGAGCAGAAATTAAACCCATTTTAATTAAAAAATGTAAACGTGAAAAGTCAAAATACCACACAAAAATTTCACGTTCCCCCCAAGTTTCCGATATGAAGCGCTATCTAGTGCGAGCATATGATAACTTTTAAAGTGAAAGTTGCCGCGCTGGTGTGAACTGATGTACACAAAAAGCATTTTTTTCCGCATTGCTGCTTTTCATCCTAACAGACTAGTGTGAACGCAGCTTCAGAAGTGGCTAAATTCCAACGTAGAAGGAAACATGCGCAAAATATCTATTGCCAAAATTCAAAGCTGGCGTCGAAGTTCGAAGCAGATGTTCATCAAGAGTTCATAAAACATATATCGTTTTAAATTTCTTTAAACTTTAAAGGAAAAGAAAATATTTTTTCGTGCAAGTAAATTAATTAATGGATTAGTTATTTTGAGCCACAAAAAAGTTACGAAAATCCGAGTTTAAGTTATCACGAAAAGTCAAAGAAGAAACTTTTTGTCAAAGAATGTTTCTTCTTAACACGTTTCTCAATTTCCTGTATGTATCGTGGAGGAGAAAATTCTTGCTGTCAGGTTCCGTCACCAAATTTTCCCTCCGCTTTCCAGCGACGTAATAGCAAACTGGTTTATATTATGTCTATAGAACCTTTTCCTTCTTTACACAGACGTTCTTTGGGGAAGCTCTCTAGCCGCAGCTGGGCATTTCATAACAATTCTTTAAAAATCAATAATATTTTTTAATGAACAAATTTTTTATGCAATAAATGCAATCCAAAACACTGAAACAAAAAAACACAAGCACGATTAAAAAAGTACGAAGAATGTAAAACTAGAATGGAAAACAATAAACAGTTTTTGAGCTAGGTGATTTAAGACTAATTAAAAAAATCTATGCGAAATATTAAAAATTCTGCATCAACACATCAAGCGCAGTAATCACATTAATCAAAATTGAAGTTTTGTGAATTAGAATCGGTGGTTTTATTTCTGAAAGCTTGTTTGAGTTTAATATTAATGATAATACAAAAAATAATAAATCATAAGTCTAATAAAGCATTTTTTTCCAAACTTTCATTCATATTCTTAATCTAATTGCTATTTCAATGTTCCTTATTATTACTATCATACAGTGCAATTATTTGCATTATGAATATATTGTGTGCTATATATTATAGAAAAAAATTTAAGGGGTTGATGAAGAAAACCATTTCTTAATAGAGGTTGAGGTAAGAAAAAGGTTGAAAATC